AGAGAGAGAGAGAGAGAGAGAGAGAGAGAGAGAGAGAGAGAGAGAGAGAGAGAGAGAGAGAGAGAGGGGATCCGCTGTCGGGTTGGGAGCAGAAGGCATATTAAGCGCCAATGACTACATATTACATAGCACATACAGAATGTAAGTACGTTCAGGCCGCCGCAAAGGCTTCGACATCCTCCTTCGCTCCTGTTTCGTCAATTTCTCGCACTCTTCCTGCTCGCCTTTCTATTGCTCCTCCTCCTGTCCCTCCTGTCCCTCCTCTCCCTCCTCTCCCTCCTCTCCCTCCTCTCCCTCCTTCTCCTTCTCCTGCTCCTCCTCCTCTCCCTCCTCTCCCTCCTCCTCCTGCTCCTGCTCCTCCTCCTCCCTCTCCTCGTCCTCCTGCTGTTCCATCTTTCATGCTCTTTGCTCCGCTCGTGGTTCTGGTATTTCTCGAAAGAAACAAGTGAGGCAGTGCCAAGATCTCAAACTGTAAAGGCAAAACTAACACCAGCTCCAAAGGGCAATCGATGTACCGTGCACGGTCGTTGTGCCTTTTTCATTCGTCTTCTTTCCCCGTCCGACTCCACGGCCGGCGTGGACCACAGTACTTTTTTTTTTTTTTCCCAAAAAAAACACAGTACTTTCAACGGCCGTCTGACAGTGGAGTACACTGTCAGTGCTTTCATCTCCCGTTTGGTGGCCGTTGCTTTTGCGGCTAGTTTTGCCCGTTTGTGTTTGTTTTTGCTACTTTGAAACTGCTTTGTAACACAAACGAGCTTACCCCTTTCGACAAGCGCCCATCATCATCATCATCATCCTATTGTTGTCCTTTTTCCTTATAATCCTATTATTAATCCTGTTCCCATCGAATCACCCTTGCTTTCTGACCCCCCCCCCCCCTCTCCCCCCTCCCTCTGCCTTTCACATCAGCCGTACCTTCTTCCCCCCCGAATACAACGACGGGTCGTTATAGCTGTATTTGAGAAGTTTGAGGAATCTGTCAGTCTAGATACAGCTGTAATAACCGTACGTTGTAATCGGGGGGAAGAAGGTAGGTGTACACACACCAAATGCTTATCTAAGCTACGCTAAGCCTTCTTCTTTTGCTGTCCCCTCCCCTCCTCTATTTTTGCTCTCTCCCCTGGGTCCCCTTCGTCTGCCCCTGCCTTTCTCATCACCCTCAGCTGAGCCTTCTTCTGTAACAGTTGCTGTCTCCCCGCCCCACTGACTGTGTCCTCCTTTTTTAAAAAAAGAGCAAACCCGACTCCAAATTAGGGACGGGAAAGGAGAAGGAAAAAACGTGTAGATCTGAGGACAAGTGACAGCAGCGAAGATCAGGTAATGGATTACAATTGTATTGAAACGAAACGAGGACAAGAAGCAGGAAGATGATGGGGAGGGAAGGAGGAGAGGGAGGAGGGAGGAGGGAGGAGGGAGGAGGGAGGA